AATCGCGTTCCAATGCATTTCAATGGGAAGCAGTGCTTTGACTTACCATTTCGAGTTACATCCATCTTCTGGAAAGCATTATGGTCATAAGTCAAGGCACCACTGCAGTAGCTTGGGGCGAAAGGCTGACAGGAGGAAGGGCTTTTCCCAAGACTGTTTCTAGCTGCTTCACAGATTTAAATCCACCAGTAATTTATGGTTATATTATCTTGCAGGAGCAAGTTTTATTCTCTCTCTTCCCCTTTCCTCCTCCTTTCTTCTTGCTTCTCTCAGCCAAGTCTCAGATGAAAAGGGAGGGGGGAGTGTTCACTGGTCTGGCCAGATACAGATCTAGTCACTTTCTCTGACAGATTACACACAGTGTCTCTCATTGTTTTAGGTCCTTAGGAGTTCCATATCTAAAACAAGCCGCTTACTTCAAGTTCTAGTCAAGATTGTTCCCAAAATCCTTCTGTACTTTTCTGCTCTCTGTCTTTGGGGCATTCACAGCTCTGTGCCAAAATGGTGTCTTCTCAGTTTCCGCTTTTCAGACTGTGACTTCAAAGAGAGGCCAATCCAGGAATCTCCCAGGTCACACTCCCCCCCTTCTCAGTAAGATTCTGTTGCTTCAGCCTTTCACTTCTTCTAGTAAAAGTCCTTTCCCCTCCAGATTGGAAGGGCTTGAAACTGAGTGGCCTCGGTTAGTTTCAGGAGCCTCCTGAAACCCGACCGATCTCGCTGCGATGAAGCCCCGCCTCCTATAAAAATCCTTTCTAGGATCCCAAAATTAATGGCAGTTTGCACAGGATGGGGAGCCTTACTCTCCAATGCTGGGATAATTTGGTCCCCTTCTTCAGTTTCCTCTCTATGCACAAATATGTTGAAAACTGTATTGGCTTATATATGTATTATAGGGCTTTGCATCGATTTCAATTTATTTTTTGCATATATGTAACTTTCTGGCTCCTTTATTTCTTTTCATCATATGTTCATTGACTTGCTTTTGTATTCACTTTACATTTCTAGGTCTTCTTCTTTTGGTTTCTTTGGCAGTGAGACCATTCCCTCCTGTGTATTTAATTTGACTTCCTTTATTTTACCCTAGTTAGACAAACTCTTGGAATTCACTTTCATTGGATCTGTCATTTTACATTACGTAACTCTTCTTTTCAAAGTGACATTTGGCTAACATAAATACTTGCAACACTGTATGCCCTGTGCTGTACTTATGCCTGTTATGTAAGAACAAAATGCTTGCTCAGCACAAGCATAGTGAAACAATAATACTAAGGAAAAGAGCAGAAAACTATAGACTTTGCGTGTGATAAATTTTGCCTAGGAGAGCTACAAACTTGCCACAGGCCTTTCTTATTTTCAATATTCAAGAACCGCCTTGACTGACCCAAATGTAGTTCTTTATTAGTCAACATTTTTGTTTCAATAGGCCTACCAGCCTTGAATACAATATTCTCCAGAGAGTATCTTCCAATCTGGACTTGAAGCATGGCCACCACAGAATAACCCAAGTCAGTATACTGATCCCCATAGTAAATCACTAAACAATGCCACACTGCCGCACTTAGAGACCTAGAATGTTTTGGATTATGTGAGCAAAAGTCTTCCTTTTCCCCTTTTATATCCTACTTCTACTAGCCATGAAGCAAAAAAGATTTCCATCTAAGCTTTCAAACTATTCCATGTCCCAGCCCCATTATACAACACTGTGGGGCAATGTCTGCCACTGATTCAGATAATCTTGATAGATTGTGGTGAGGCCTGTTAGTAAAAAACTATGATGGTTGCAATACTATAAAATAAGTTGGACACTGGGCAATAGCAGGCAGAGGAACAAAGCTAACTTTCAGTGATTTATATGTGTAACAGATGTGTTATATTTGGCAGAACTGACAACAATGCAGGAAAACAGCAAAATCTTCAGAATTCAAATGTGCCCCACAATTTGGACGACATACATGATGCATACGCTGTTCTTTCAGTATCAATAACATTCATCTATATAGATGTGATGATACCCTATTTTGCTCCCCAACATAATGTCACAGAACTGTTCTGTTAAGCATTCTTCACTCTTGGACAATATATAGGGATGCATGGTGACTGAATCTACATGCCAGGGAGCAACTTAGAAGTACAGTGGTGCCTCGCTAGACGATGATAATCCGTTCCACTGAAATAGCTGTTTAGCGAAATCATTGTCTAGCGAAAAGCATTTCCCTATTGGAATGCACTGAAACCTGTTTAATGTGTTCCAATGGGGAAGAATCTTCATTGTCTAGCGAAGATCGGCCATAGGAAAGCCGCTTTGCGAACTGCCAATCAGCTGTTTAAATGGCTGTCTTGAGAAGCTTAGGTCCCAAAAACACCTGTTTGCGAGCGCGGAGGGAGCTGTCAAAAGCGTTGTCTAGCGAAAATCGGTTTGCAAAGCAGGGACCAAACATTGTCCAACGAAATTCCCTCATAGGAATCACTGTTTTGCGAATCGCTATAGCGATCGCGAAAAGCCAATGTCTAGCGAAAAATCTGTCATGCAGGGTAACTGTCTAGTGAGGCACCACTGTAAATTTAAACAAATGGCATCAAACATATTCCACATGCAGCATTTCATATATTAATTCAAAACTGAAACCCAATTGCACAGTTGTGTCTTTTGAGCTTACCTAGAATCTGATTTTTTTACTAAAGAATAGATACACATCCCTTTCTAAATCTATCTACTGCCTTCTTTTCTACCTACTAGGCATGTTTGGTACATCCATTTTTCTCATTTCTTGGTTTACTGAAAGAAAAGACAATGTTGCCTCACAGCAGGTAGGGAAGCAAGAAAGCAGGAACAAGTGGAAGGCATGGAAGGGGAATAAGGATTGTCAATGAATACAGGAAAAAATTAATGGAAGAAATTGCCGATTAAATAAATTACCAGGGGAGCTTTAAACCATGACAGCTTTTGCATTTATTTCCCTGCATTATATTGGGAAGCCTATGCCTCATGAAAGATACATCTTTCTTTACAGCATCTTGCAGTTTGCCAAGTGTGTTGCACTCTTGTTCTGAGAACTGATGCAGACTTTTAGTAGAAATGCTATGTTCCTGATGAATAAAACCTAATTAATCACGGCATATTTGTGAACACTGAATTGCAAGGTTGTAATGTTACACACATTTACCTGGGAGTAAACTTCACTGAACAAAACGAAACTTGATTCCGAGTAAATGACTATGTATATGATTACCCTATACTCTGGTGAAATAATCAATAATCATGCTCTTACCTTCAATAACTCTGAACGCTTTGTTGCAGCTGGGAAGAGGCCACTTTGCTAAACCTGATTCTTGAAAGTTTTCCTTCAGGTTTGAATATTCCATAGGAAAATGAGATTTTGTTGAACTGTCCAGTTCTACATGGGAAAAAGTTATAGGTACTTTATGCAAATTGTAACAATTTCATATGTAATTTGAAAATAGTTAAACATTTTTAAATTTCTTCAGATGTATGAATCTAAAGAAAGTCAACCTCCAAGCCAACACCATTAGTTTCTGGAAACATTTTATGCACATGCTCTCAAGAACACTCTCACAATCTAGAGTTGCAGAGAGAAACCTTTGGCTTACCAGATGTTTTGAATGGCAACTCGCAGTTCTTATCACTACCTGAACATGGCATTTTAGGATTAAAGTCCAAAATATCTGGAAGGCCAAAAGTTCCTCACCCATAATCTAGAGAAACAAGTCCAGCAATTTTTGCTTATACAAGCTTTAATTTTTTTAAAGCAGCTGCCCTCTGTGCTCTTGAGAAATCAAATATGAAAATCCAATAAATCTGAGAAGCAGTTCATTACTATGCTGGAAACGAGAATTGTAAGATTTAGGATCCTGGTGTATGCATTCTTCCTGCAGGATAAATTTTACTGAACTCAGTGTAAGTCCACATTGGATCAGGCTCCAACAAAACTCAGACTAGTTATACATATGCCTCTAGGCCTGTGAAAATCAGCCTTTCACTGTGTGTTCCAAGCTAGCAATCTACTACTGTATATCTACTGTGTGTACTTGTTGCTTTACACCATTTTGAAATAAACAGTAGTTATTTAAGCACTTTTAGCTATTTATTGAGGAATGCAGTCTAGGGCAAAAGCAAACAGAAAATTACAAATAAGCAAAGATTGTGAAGTGTCATTAACAGTGAAACATCTTATTAATAGTAAAGGAGGCAAGTACATGGAACAAAGCAAACTTCTTTAGGTTTCAATTTAATACTTTTTGTCATCTGATACAGTTTCTGAGGCATCAAATAAGTTACATTGCTTAAATAATCAAATCTCTCACACATTCACACCCTGCTCAACATGCATGAATAGCTCCTAGAATGATGTAATGCTTGAATCCTCTAATTTGCTATGGGTATTTTTTTGTGAAAGGGAAATATAAGCAGATTGGTGTATCATACGTTTCTCTGCCTTTCCTCCCTGCATATTTTCCCTGTTTACAGTTCCAAGTTCTGTCTATACAGAAATTCCCATTAATGTTTTTGTCCATATTTTTACTGCATAATCTCTGCAGGTTTCCCCCCCAGAAATTATAGGTGAGCGAGAGAATGTTTGATTTCAATTTCCTAGCCTCAAATAAGAGGCCTGTGTGTATTTTCCATTTGCACGTTTTCTGGAATGGCAGGAACATCCCATTTGCAGAGTAATACAATATTCTAGGCACATCAGGAAATTGTGGCTGCTGCCTCCTACTCTCTGGATTTCATTAAATTCCTTGGATTCTGTGCACTTTAAAAGTCCTATGAATTCAGATTCTTATTTTCAAATTAAAAATAGAATAGAACCGCCTGTCCTCCTTACATAATTAAAAGTATGTGATAATGAGTAACATAACTATCAGCAAAAAAAACAAAATAATAAATTGGTTTTAAAATCTGGTTACAGATGCTGAGGTGCCTGATTTTGTAATGAGTAATAGACTGTGCTTCTTTTGCAGAGCAACCTTCTAAACTCTGGAAAATTCCCCTCAAGGTTTAGACAACACATTGAGATGGGGGGGGGGAGCTTTTCTAATTCACAAGTCTTTGAAAACGGTAATTGTGATAATATATGGTACTGGTAATTATGCAGTACCACAGGATTCAAGGAGGGCTTTTTTAGTAACAGTCATGCCTCCTTCAAGAATGGGATACTGCCTTGTGGCAGGGAGAGATTTACCACTCCTCCTACCCATTCAGCCAGTTCCCCTCCAGTGGCTGTTATAAACCAAGAAGGGAAAGGATCCAGGACAGGTATACCCCTTTCCCAGTCCATTAAGGCATGCACCCACACTGAAATACTTTTTTATTTTTAATTTCTATTCATTTTTAAAAAGCAGACTACAAAACATTCATTAAATAAATAATATCTACTTTCATTTGAAGACACTGTGTAGAATTTGGGGAAATCCTCCCCCCCCCTTTGCTTGCAGGATGAATATTAAATCTTTATGAAGGCAGAAGCACATAGGTAAACTACCTCTGAGGAGAGATGGGCATGAACTAGCATAATAGTGGTTCATGATGGTTTGTGGTATGTTGGTGCCCACAAACCATGCAATTTTTTTTTAAATGAACCAGTTTGTGGTTTGTTCAGTTCAGGCCCATCTCTAAATTAAGTGGGGGAGCTTTCTGTGTAGCTCAGCTAGACAGAAAGCCTCCTTTCATGGGGACCAGCACCTACCTCACTTGGGCCGAGCCTCACTGCTGGAGTTCTCTGAGGCTTTCCTGTATAGAGCCCAATGGGCAGCAAAATCATACTTCCTGCAATGCCCTAAGTCTCCCTGGAAGCACTGGAAAGCCAACTGTCATACTCAACTGGGCAGCACCAATGGAGGAGGCTGAAAGCAAGTAAGCTAGGTGCTGGGGCCTATGAAGGGGTGCTTTCTGTGGGGGGAATGAAGTTGAAATGAAATGCCAATAGTGAAGAAGTTCGGCATTTCATTTTGCTTTGTTGAAAGCATGGTACCCCAACCCATCCAGAAAAAAAAACCCCACAAACTGGCCTGGGCCATGGGTTATTTTACAAGGGGAACCTTTACCTTTACCTCAGCATTTCATTTTGCTTTGTGAAAGCATGGTACCCCAACCCACCCAGGAAAAAAAACCCCACAAACTGGCCTGGGCCATGGGTTATTTTAGTTCGTGGTTCATTTTGTGCCCATCTCTACTTCTGAGTACTGTCTAAGTAGAAAATTCTGGAAAGGATCACCTTAAGTTTGACATGATGGAGTTATCTGAAGTTACTGCAGTACATCCTACTGTATGTGGATCTGTCCTTCAGAACAACACAGATGCTACAGGAAATGCAATACACAGCTGCTGACAGGAACACCTTTCAGAGTTCTTTTGACCCCAGCTCTGAAAGAATTGCACTGGTTGCCAAAATGCCTCTGGTCTGAGTTCATGATGTTGATGACTGCTTTGTTGTTGTTTAGTCATTAAGTCGTGTCCGACTCTTCGTGGCCCCATGGACCAGAGCACGCCAGGCCCTCCTGTCTTTCATTGCCTCCCGGAGTTTGGTCAAATTCATGTTGGTAGCTTCGATGACACTGCCCAACCATCTTGTCCTCTGTTGTCCCCTTCTCCTCTTGCTCTCGCACTTTCCCAATATTTGACTGCTTGCACAGCCCTAAATGGCTTGAGGCCTGCATATTTGAGGGAGTGCCTCTCCCTCTAACTACTATCCTAATCACTGCAATCTGTTGCAAAGGCCCCCTGAGAAATGCAGACTATATGGAGACATGGAGAAGGGCTTTCTTGGCTGTAGGTCCTTAGCTGTGGAATATTCTCCTTGGAAGTTCAATTGACATTGGCGCTGGCTTCATTTCAGCACCAAGTTAAAATGAGGCTGTTCATTAGAGCCTTGAAGGATCTTGGTTTGAACAGGTTATAGAACTTTTGCAACATGTTCAATTTTACAGGTTTTAAATAGTTTAAATTCCACAGTTGTTTTATGTGTTTTAAATAGTTTTAAATTATTTTATATAACATTATTCATTTAAACAGTTAAATTATTTTGTATTACTCTTGTTGTATCCCACCTTGAGATCTTATAATATGGGAGGGGTATAAACAGACTAAATAAATAATTAAGGTTCACCTAAGGACTTAGTTAGTGAATAAAATAGGTGCTGTACTTAATAGGAAATTCAGTTTTATATTAACCCAGCTGGAGATGCCATGGTCTGGAGTGCTTCTAAAACGTGTGGTTGCACACTCAGAAGACTTCTGTATTATGAGGAGGTTCAGAGTGGTGTATACCAGTTTTCCTCTATGCTGAAGCTTTCAGTCCGAGCTTATTTGCATTCAGATACAGGTTTATATGCATTGCTTTCTATCTAGGCCTTTATGGTTTTTCTTAGCTTGAGTAGGTACTAGCTCTCTGTTTCACAGTTCTATTTTAGACTTTTGTTTATTCTCTTGTGTCCTTTCCATGACCTGATAAATATGAAAAGAATATGCGTAACCTTTCTTCTCAGATAGTTACTTATTTTCAATGAAGGTACAGTGGTGCCTCACTTGATGACGTTAACCTGTTCCAGCAAAATTGCTGTTAAACAAAATCGTCATCAAGCAGATTTTAAAAACCCATTGAAATGCACTGAAAACCCTTCAGTGAGTTCCAGTGGGCTAAATACCTCATCGTAAAGCGAAGATCCTCCATAGGGCAGCCATTTCCCTGTATAGCGAGGAATCCATCCTAAAGCACAGTGGGGAGCCATTTTGCACAGTGGGCGGCCATTTTAGAGCTGCAGGGAACCGATCATCGTGAAGCGAAGTTTTCCTACTAGAACATCATTTTACGATCGCAAAAACCTCATCGTTAAGTGGTTTCGTCATTTAACAAGGTAATCATTAAGCAAGGCACCACTGTATGTGATTCCACCTTTAGTTTCTTAAAAATTACCAATAATACCCACAAAAAATGAAGAATTACATTGTATTAAATCAGTTCATAAATTTACATGGGGTGGGGTGGGGAAAAAGAATGATGTAAGCATATGTAAGACATAAAAGGAAGCCACATGTCCAAAAATGTATTTCTAACATTAACAATTCTCAATGAACAAGCCTGAAATGTTATGTAACTTTTCTATAAGAACCATATAACAGCTATGCGTATTTTAGAGAGCAAGAGGGTGTGTGGTTATCACCTGAGAAAGGAATTTGTTTACACAACTGTGCTGGCCAGGATCAGTGATATCAGACATCTGTGCCTGAGAACTCAATGTGTTATCAATTTGCTCATTAAATACGTCCTTTGAAAATACAAGTATTATAATTGTGCCAATTAGTGACGGACTTAGTTATTACTGGATCACTTAATGAGATATCTTCAGACATTCTGCTAAGTAAGAAAGAATGTAATCC